ACTTGAGACGGGAGCGAGAGAGAGAGAAGAGACTCTGCAACCAAAAGCCTCAAGTCGCATGCGCTCACTTTGGTTTTGAGAGAGGTAGGTGCTCTGCTCGTTCTTCAAATCCTCAAATCCACCACATTTTCATTTCATATACGGTTTTGATTTGTATATTATGTATCAGATGATTGATATTGAATCTGAAATTCGTAGTTTTAGTCAGATTTTTTTATGTTTTCGCTTTCTGCGGTGGAATTTCAGGCTTGAATTTGTGGATACAATTCGAGAATTGTTTAGGTGAATAGTTTGGCAGAGTCGTTGGTGAAAGTCGAGCTTTTCTGATGATGGTAATGGAGGCCACGGTTGCGCAGAGGTTGCAGTTTTCGACCTGGATTGATTCGGAGAAGGTTGCGAGGCGGCCGAGCAGTTCAGCGCGGTGCTCTCAGAGATTGAAGGTTCAAAACAAGCTCCGGGTGCTTGTTGCAGCTCACCTACCCACCTCTAGAGTCTCTAATCGCCATAGACATGTCGCTTTGGAGGTTTCATGCTCCTACAACAAGTTTCCAGGTAGTTGTTGAGACGTTCAGTCGGTTTATTGCCCATTGAATGTTGGTGGTACCCATGTAGAGACAGATGTTGGTTTAGAGAATGATTAATTCCTGATTGTGATTTGTAATAATTATTTAGTCATTGAGTTAATTTTCTTTGTTGAAATTGCACTAGGAAAAGGATTAAAGAAGAAGATATATTTCAAATTTTAGAAGGTTGTATAATTGTTTGCTGAGAAAAAAAAAAAAGTATATGGAAGGAGGTATAATTGTTTTCTGAAAACAAAAAAGAAAACATTTGCTCTTCGATAAAGAAAAAAAAATTTGGTTTCAACAAATGTAAATTGTTTTGAGTCTCGAGAATTTCCTAGGATACAATAAAATTGTCTCACTCTCTTTTTCTATCTCTCTGTCTCTCCACCCTCTCATGTATGTCTGTGTGCTTATTAACTACAATTAATTTTCTTGGTACTCATGTAGGGACAGATGTTGGTTTAGAGAATGTTTAATTCCTGATTGTGATTTATAATACTTATTTAGTCATTGAGTTAATTTTCTTTGTTGAAATTGCATTAGGAAAAGGATTAAAGAAGATACATTTCAAATTTTAGAAGGTTGTATAATTGTTTGCTGAGAAAAAAAAAACATTTGCTCTTCGATAAAGAAAAAAAAAATTGGTTTCAACAAATGTAAATTGTTTTGAGTCTCAAGAATTTCCTAGGATCCAATAAAATTCTCTCTCTCTCTTTTTCTCTCTCTATGACTCTCCCCCCTCTCATGTATGTCTGTGTGCATATTAACTACAATTAATTTTCTTTCTGAGGATTGAATTTTTATTTCAATTATTACTTTTGTAGCTTCAACAGTGGAATCTGGAAACTTTCAAACTCCTTTTGATGAATCTCTGGTTTTGAAGGTATGCATGGCACACCATTTCTAGTTTGTTTGAGCCATGAAGTCTGGTGAAAGAAATCCTAGTCTCTATTAATTTATTACAAAATTTATCTCATGTCCAATGTGATTGTAAACTGTGGTACCAACTATATATTATTTATTTATGCGTGCAAAAGCACACACACATATGTCAAGAAAGGTTAATGTTTTCTCAGTTCTCATCTTAGACATTTTTTGGCATATTTCTAACTGGAAGTTAATAAAATTGCAGAATAAGGCACAAGCCATCGAGCCATATTTAAATGGACGATGTATATATCTTGTTGGTAAGTCTCTTCGTACGCCCTTTGTCTTTAATCTAGGATTTTTTTACCCTGTACCTAAAGAAACTAATTCTGAATTGCAGGTATGATGGGATCTGGGAAAACAACTGTTGGCAAGATTTTGTCGCAAGCAATTAATTATTCTTTTATTGATAGGTTCGTAGTCCGCCTACTTTTGAGTTTGGTCTTTGTAAAAAAAGTTGCATGCTCTATTTTGATTTCAATGAGAGGAAGGACGGAGTTTTTTCGCTATCATTTTTCTCGTTATTTTCAAGTCCAGTGTGAAGCCTTAATGGTGAGGAATAAACTCTCAAGCTGTATGGAGGACTCTCAGAAGCTATGCCAATGAAAACTGTAGATATTGGCACATGAAATTTCTGTGATCCCAGTTCACATAGTATTCTGTGTTGGAACAATCAGAAAGCTGTAGTGTTCCTTGAATGATTGTCTGTCCTTTTGTGGCTGATTTAGGATATGAGTTCATGTTACTTCTTACTAATAGTACTCTGTATTTTGGTATATACTTGTGGGGGCTCTAGTGATACATTGGTGGAGCATGAGGTTGGTGGAACTTCTGTAGCTGAAATTTTCAAACTCAATGGAGAAGGCTTTTTCAGAGATAAAGAGGTCAGTTGGAAACTGTTTCTGTTGATTTATTTACTGCAGATTTTCATGTTTGGCCTGTCGTTTTTAGAATTACAGTGCATCGTGGTAGAATGCATCTGTACACCTGACGTATATACATACATCTGTATTTTGGTATATACTTGTGGGGGCTCTAGTGATACATTGGTGGAGCATGAGGTTGGTGGAACTTCTGTAGCTGAAATTTTCAAACTCAATGGAGAAGGCTTTTTCAGAGATAAAGAGGTCAGTTGGAAACTGTTTCTGTTGATTTATTTACTGCAGATTTTCATGTTTGGCCTGTTGTTTTTAGAATTACAGTGCATCGTGGTAGAATGCATCTGTACACCTGACGTATATACATACATACATATAGAAAAGTGAAGCAGGTTTATAATTATACTTCTTCCTTTTAGACTGACGTGCTACGTAAACTGTCATTGATGCATCGTCTTGTTGTTTCTACGGGTGGAGGTGCAGTTGTACGGCCCATCAACTGGTTAGTAGTAATACACTTGTGTATTTTACTAAATTTTCTATGTTTTTTAATTCTCTGTATATTATATTAATTGTGTTAATATACACATCTATTTGGTGAATCAGGAAATGTATGAACATGGGTATTAGTGTCTGGTTAGATGTACCCTTGGAAGCCCTGGCTCAGAGAATTGCCGCTGTGGGAACTGGTTCTCGCCCTCTTTTGCATCATGAGTCAGGGGATGCATACAGAAAAGTATGCTATTTATGTTTAGCTGAAAATTCTTACTAACATAGTCCTTGGTTCTATGATTGGTCAATAAACAGGTTATCTACTCACTGGAAAGTTTACACTTTGCCTTCCATGCAGACTTTTATGCGTCTGACAAGCCTTTTTGAACAGAGAGGTGATTCATATGCTAATGCCAGTGCTAGGGTTTCCTTGGAAAGTAAGTGGAGATTTGTGGCCCTTTCATTGTGTTATGACATAATAGTAAAAAATAAAAACAGAGAGAGAGATTTTTACTTGTACGATCTTCATGGCTTGGATTCTTTGTTGTGCAGATATTGCAGCCAAGTTGGGTTATAGAGATGTGTCCAGTCTCACTCCCACTGCCATTGTTATTGAGGTTCCTCTCTTATTCTCGCTCTCAATGTTGCATTCCCATCTAATGGAACATAAGCATAGTCCACCTAAAAAACACAAAAAGAGGGCTAGATGTTGAAACATTATCAGAACTTGGTTGTAAATTATGTGTTACTGCTTAATTTGGGTCTACCCTTTTTACCAGGTACTAGAACAAATTGAAGTCTTTCTGAAGGAAGAAGATGGCCATGCCCGTATTACGTTCTAAGATGCCGAACTTCCTTGTAGCATTCTTGTTGTGGTACATTATTTCCTATTTTCCATAATGAAGCATGGATATATGCGTCTATTGTGTTAATGGAGTTTGAAAAAGAAAAGAACTATTGTAAGATTTCGATTGTAATCTCGAATAAGTTGTAACTGTATATATTGTTTGACCTGTGAAGTGAGGTCCTTGACCCCGCAGCCAGTATCCCCTTTGTTTCGAGATTTCGTTTCAATCGGTCATAAAAGTAGTTCTAAACAATTTTGCAGATCAAACACGTGCATTAAAATGTTCTCTAAATTGCCTTTGATTTCTATAATCATGTGAGAGTTGGTGGGTTGCAATTAGTTTGTTTTTCACTTCTTGACGGTTCAATACAACGGAGTTTAGCAGTATTTCTCTTCTTAATGTCATAAATTCAAATTTCCCTTGCTCGCTGATCAGAAAAATTAAAAAAACAAAACTAACAAATGAGAACCCAAGTTAAGAAAGAACCAAAAAAGTTGGTATTAGGTGGAGATGGGTTTCCGAAATGCGATACCATATTCAGCAAAGCCATATTTTACAGTCGTTGCCGATTTAGTTGGATATAATGGAATGGAAATAGATCAAAATTCATATGGACACTCTCCTAGCCACGTTCCTAACAAATTCACCAACATTGGAAGCTAAAGATGCTTGCAAAAAAAAAAGGACCACTTCTTGGAGCGCTGTGTAGCATGCGACGGGCAATCTAACCACAAAAGATGAACAATAATACCAAAATTCAAGCTCAAAATATGACAAAATTGATGTTCACTCTTGCCATGTGTTGTCTGAGTTTGTGAGGATATCGGATGCCGGTGATTTAAGAGAGTTGAAAGAAAAACATAGTATGCACCCGAACACGGATGTTTCTTTAGATTTTGTGCATCAATTGGGGACTCGAAATTTGAAATATCCTCCAACATAAAGAAGAGAATTACCACTACTTGAGGACGATGACCCATGCCGAATGAGGAAACTTGGCATTTTGATAAGGATGTGGTTTCTTCTTGGAGCGCTTTGTAGCATGCGACGGACAATCTAACCACAAAAGATGAACAATAATACCAAAATTCAAGCTCAAAATATGACAAAATTGATGTTCACTCTTGCCATGTGTTGTCTGAGTTTGTGAGGATATCGGATGCCGGTGATTTAAGAGAGTTGAAAGAAAAACATAGTATGCACCCGAACACGGATGTTTCTTTAGATTTTGTGCATCAATTGGGGACTCGAAATTTGAAATATCCTCCAACATAAAGAAGAGAATTACCACTACTTGAGGACGATGACCCATGCCGAATGAGGAAACTTGGCATTTTGATAAGGATGTGGTTGTAACAACTCTGAGTGCAAAATCAAATCCACCATGAACCAATCCATAAGCTCAAATATAGAACCCAATCAGATGATAAACCATCACACAAAAGGCTTAATTTTGGTCCAAAAGAGCAATTCAAGGATATGGTTCTTACCTGAAATGCTTTGGTGAGGTTGCAAAATCACCTTTGTCCTCATGCTCAAACCCTTCAACAAAACAAAAAAAAAAAAAAAAAAAAAAAAAAAAACAGAAAACAAGAGTATCCAAATTTACTTGAAGAATGGCTCAAGAAACAGTGAAAAATGAAAAGTATAAGCTGAGATTTGGTCAGTGAGGTATGACAAATTATCATATCAGCAACTTGTAAATAGTTAGAAAATCCATTTTGCTCAAGATTCAAACATCAATGCAAAGCTTCAATTGCTACCAAAAAACAAAGAAGCAAAAAAGGGGGAAAAAAAAAACCTCTAGAAATTTCATAGTCAGCATTGTTGGTTTTGGATTTTGTTTTGTTGCCCTGTAACAATGATGGTTTTGCTGGCATGTTAGGAAAATAGTTTCAAGAAAACTTAAGATCAGATGAAAAAGAAAGTATATGAGAACAAAATAAAATAAACGGAATTAAATTACACCTAGAATAAGGTTGCAACTAGACTTGTTCCAGTCAACCCAGAATTATTTTTGTTTTTTTACAAATAAAACTTATGGTTACTTATTCCACAATTACTATCTGCAAAGCAAAAAACTAATTACATGGGCAGCACATACACATGGAGAAATATTAAAACTTGATTATTACCAATAACTGAAGCAATTGAGTGTGTCCCCTGACCTAACTCGAAGGTGCTTTTATCAGGAACATTGCAAATTTGCAGCAGTCCCCCAAATTCAAAGGTAGGTCAGTGAAATAGTTGACATAACAGCTTGCTGCTGGAAGAATGGGGCTCAATTTGAAGCTTCCTTTGTTGCTCCCTTGCTGGGATAGGACTCTGGTGACCTACCTGTGAGGAGAAGAAACAGAACTGCGTTATGTTTAGCTACAAAACATCGCAGTATTGCAAGCGATTACAGAAAAAGTACAACAATAAACTTGAGAAATCAGGGGGGTGGGGGCTGTCCAAATCCAAAGTACTACGTTGGAAGATTGGGAGATAATACCCTAAGGAATGGCCCCATTTGAGACTACTTCTGTAGCAAGCACTTCTACTCAAAGAGCTTTTATTAGAAGCACATAAAAAAATTTATTAAACATAGAGGTTTTTCAGGAAGCACTTACGGGCTTTATGACTCACACGCACTTTTAAGTTTTTCTGTCAAACACTTTCAAAAAAGTGTTTGGTTGTCTGAAAACACTGTCAGCCCCTCTACTAGTTCTGTTTCTGCGTTCCAATTCACTTATTTCAAACTGCTAATATTAACATGGACAAAGCTAGCAACACTTAGACTAAGCTTGGCCATTCGCATAAACATAGTAGCACTGCACATTATATTCTCAACTAAAACTTCTTGGTTGGCTTAAAGTTTGATAATTTAACATTCATAAGCTCATTCAGAATTGCAAACTTAAATTTATCAAGTTACATCAAACACAACATCATCCATCATACCGTTAGGGCAACCATGAACCAAATAAAGCAAAGCATAAAATTTTCTTAACAAACACAAGTCAGCATGAAGAATGTAACAGTAAAGATTTCAATCATACGTTTGGATGGAATTCCACAGTGCTCCACCAAGAATCACAACGAGACCGCCAAGCAGTTGACGATGGAGAAGTCTTTCGGAACCGAAATGAGCTTATGGGACCAACCAATCTTTCCCTGCAACTCTCCATCCCCATTTTCCTCCACTTCAATTTCAGCACACCAAATCTCAATTTCTTTACCATTTCCCTTCCCTTCCCACAACACAACCAATTTCTCTCCCACATTCGCCATCGTGGCGCCGCACAAGAACTTGGGCAGCCCCTTCTCCAGTCCCTTGAGCTCTTTCCAAACCCTCTTCTTCACATCAAACCCTCTAATTTTCCCCAAATAGTCATAGCAGTAGAGAATCCCATGGACCACACAGGCCCTCCCTCTCCAACCCAAGTCAAGCCTTTTATCAACCACATCCCAAGTTCCGGCTTTCGGGTCCAACACAACGCCGCCCCGGTCCGCCATGGCGTACACGCGCCCGCCGATCACGGCGCTCGCGTGCATCCACTTGTCGCGGACATCAATCGGGCTCGGCACCGCCTCCCAGCGGCCCGTCTCCAGGTCAAGAGACTCGGCCCAGAACTCGTTCCGGGCCCACGAGTCCGTGACGCAGCCGCCGATGACGTATATCCTTCCGTCAACGACGCCGGCAGCCGCGAACTCGCGCGCCACGCGCATCGGAGGACCCTTGCACCACGTGTGGAAGCGGCAGTCGAGGAACCATACGTGCGAGGAAGGGACGTCGTTGATTGAGCCTCCGATGACGTAGATGGTGGGGCCGACGACGGCGTAAGCGGCGCCGACTGTTGGGGCTGGGAGTGGCGGGACCGGGATGAGAACGTGAGGGTTGTTTGGGTGGTTGGGTTCGGGGTTTTGATAGAGTGTGAACCAGGCGGAGGGGTTGTGGTGCAGCCGCAGGGTGAGGTAGAGGAAGTGTTCGGTGGAGCTGAGGAGGGAGCGGGTGGTGAAGAAGAGTGGAGATGAGAGGAGGGAGCGGATGGGTCGCGAGACAATGGAGAGGGTCGGGTGGTACCAACGTGGGACCCGAGCTATGCAGTTCAAAGCGACATCGTCTGGGAGGGATGGGATTAGTTGTGCCTCTGCTGCTGAGCTGCTTTGTGTGGTGGTGGTGGTTATGGTGGTAGACATGGGTGTGTGCCTGTATCAGATCTGTAATTTTTTCTTCATATTACTGTTTGTCCATTTGATTTGGAGGATAATTAAATTAATAAAAATTTGTAGATATCCTCATTTCTAGCATTAGTATAAGGTAGGTGCGGTCCGGTTTAATTCGGTTTTTTTTTTTTTGGTCTTCGAATGGGAGTTTTTTGTTTTGTTTTTGTTTTTGTTTTTTTTTTTTGTCGAAGTTCCAATTCATTGCGATCACCCAAAAGGGTAGAGAACAGTACAAACAAGCCGCATATAAACATCGGCCAGAAAACCAATAGGAAATAAATAAGAATAAATCTAGCTAAAACTAGTACAATATAGCATGAAGATCATGTTCTCAAGCCAAAAACTAAAACATCAAAAGCCAACAAAAAGGCATTTAGTCCACATAAAGGCATATAGCCTACAAAGAGGCATTATACCCACATTAAACATAAAATACATAAAATAAAACACAGGAAACCTAGCCGCCACAACCAAAGAGAAACTCCAAGCCGCCACTAGCAAAGAGAAACTCCATGATTGTAGATGGACAAACCACCAATCACCACCATGAAGAACCAAACACCCGTAGGTAAGCAAAGCAAGCCAAATATCCCTCAAAACATAGCACACTCGAGATTCACTAACATATCTAGAATTAACCCAACCAATACATCCAAAAGACAGCAACTAGCAAAAAAAGAATGAGAAACCCATTCCACAGCCAGGAGGAAAAGAACCAAGAACCTGGAAAGAGGTGGTATAAACACCCGAGTTAGAGCTCTACACACCTTCCAATAAATACGCGCCAAAATTCGTTTGAAATTTGCAGCTACAAACCAAGGATGAGGCCAGATCAAAGGGGAGGTGAAGGAATTTGGATGAGCCATGGATTTTGGGTCGGTATGGAACAGGACCCGCAGGGTGAAGATGGCGATGATAGAGGAAATCATGCCCATGGTCTTCATCCCACTAGATTGGAAAAAAGGGGAGAATGAGAGAAGTGTGATTCAAAGAGGAAGAATGAGGGGAGGGAATGCGGCGCTGAAAGGGTGGGGGAGTTTTTTTTTAACAATCACCTACCAAACTCACATAAACCTAAGTCATATGGTTTACGGGGCTTGCACGAGGGATTGTGGTGTGGAAGGTTACGGAGCTCCACAAGGCCCATCGAAGCTCTTGGATAATGAAGACTTTGGGCTAGCTACTTGAGAACACCAAAGTCCAAGTCCATTACTTGGAGTTTTCTAATGTAAGTAAGCAAATGAGATATTCTTTAAGTACTCCATATTACCCACTAGAAACAAGCCGATTCCGACACTTCCGTTTACCCGTAGGAAAAAGTCATTTTCCGATGCCTAGCTTTACCTACTGGAAATAATAATGTCCCAATACTCCTTTTGCCCATTGAAAATAGGATGGTTCCAACACTTCCTTTTACCTATTGGAAACCAAAGAGAGCCTTCACCTTCTATAAATTGGTAGGCATTGCCTAGGCAAAAACCAACTTCTCTGGGTTGCTCCAAGCCTCTCAGCAACCATGAAAACTCACTTCTCTGAGTGGTTGCAAGCACCCCAACAACCATCAGAGCACCTTCCTTCTATTGCTACAAGCAGTCCAACAACCATCATAGTTATTCCTCAGCCATCAACCTCTATCCTTTGGCTATTGCAAGCATCCAATCGACCATCGACCCGTTCTTTTGGCTGCTACAAGCTCCCAATAGCCATCTCAACTATATCTCCTACTTTCTCATCTTGAAATCCATCATCTTTCTATAAAGCCTCACCAAGCATAACTTCAAGCCTTTCCTTCCTCCTCATACTCTGCCAAGCTATAAACATCATAGCCTTCAAGTCTCAAGCTTTTCCTTCCATTCTCATTCTCTTGAAACTTTTAAACCACCATAGCCAGAGCTTTAGACAACAAGTTCTCAATACCCAAACTCAAGCATATCCAATACCAAGCCAAACACATGCATTAATTCTCATTTGCTAAACTTGTGGGTCTTTAGCTCCCACTCCAAGCTCTCATGCCAAGCTCTATAATCTTTTTTCAACATAAGCAAATCATCTCTACCCATTTTCAGAGATGGGGGAAATGTCAACACAAGACACGCAGCCGCTAGAAGAACAACAAAGTACTCCCTTATGACTTGTTTCTCCTTCAGGATGCTTTGGGCCTAATTCTCGCTAACTCATAAAAAAGGACAATAAAGGCTTGATCACCACTCTATGGTGGTCAAATAATCAACAAGCCTGAACAAGTCTGTGGACGGAAAAAGACCCCAACATAAGTCTAATATAATTATGTGACTTAGGTTAAATTGGTCCTCGCAAATTCTCATTTTAGGTCCTTAAGATTGATTATAATAAAGTCATACTTTTAAAAAAAAGTGAAGTGCATTTGGTAACTAGAGAACATTGTCCACCATCGTTTAATATATTCACATGAACTCGAACAAGCCACCCATACTTGTATTATTTTTAATTAGTTCTCATTTAATTTCCGTTAAATTAATATTTTCATAAAAAAATTGCGTATTTTTGAACTCCAGTCCTATTATGGACATCTACATTAGTTGCATAATTTACAGTGGCAACAAAAATAAAACATGGATTATAAAGTGGATTTTTCATTCACTTTTCTCGAAGAATGTTATATGTTTAATTAATCATTATACCTCCTCTCTAACAACAACGTTGATATGGCCGAGTTGGTCTAAGGCGCCAGATTAAGGTTCTGGTCCGAAAGGGCGTGGGTTCAAATCCCACTGTCAACAAATCATTTTTTTTGTTTTGAATATTTTCATATTTGCGATATAAATAACCTTATCCCCTCTCTCTCTATCTCTCTCTGGTGCATATATCGAAAGAGAGCAAAGCCATGACGAGCTTGACCATGGCTTCTCTCTCACTCTCACTCTCAAAGCCTGCCTCTTCTTCTTCCTCCTCCTCCTCTCACTTTCATCGACAATTTCGAACTAGAGCTTCTTCCTCTGCTGCTCCTGGTGTCGACCTCAACACCCTTCAATCCGCCATTGCAAAGGTTCTTCTTCCTTTACGCTTTTAGTTTTTATTTACCTATTTTTATTCTTATTTCTAATTTCTCATAGAAATTGCACCATCACTAATTGTTGGTTAAGGCATACTTAATCAATGTACATTCTTTATCATGAAATTTAATTGTCAGAATGAAAATCAGCTGGAGAGTTAATGTAAATTCTTCCTCCTTCTCTCCCATTTACCTTCATTTCTATTATCTTTATTCGAATTCGTAGATAATTGGTTTAGTTTAAATTTTCAATCCCCTTGCTATTGCTAAATAGATAGAGAGAACATTATTGATTGTTGATACACATATCTTTGAGAAATAGATTGAAGTTAAATATCGCTATGCATTTTCTGCAGAAAGATAGCAGTGCGGTTAAAGAGGCACTTGATCAGCTAAGTGAAGTTGGTTGGGCCAAGAAATGGAGTTCTCAGCCTTATGTCTCACGGCGTACGGTCAGTCTCCGTTACAAGTGTGAAGTTCTGGGAAAGTGCTACTCAAAAAATTACCAACATCTGCAAACAAACCCATGCATACATGTACTTGAATGATGATCATCTGTTCAAAGTATTGACTCTTTCAAGTTTCAACATTTATGCACCAGACATCGCTTAGGGAGCTGACAACTCTTGGAATTAAAAATGCAGAAACTCTTGCAGTTCCCAGCGTCAGGAATGATGTAAGTATTCTTAAAACTAGTAATTTCTTTGGGCTACTTGCATTCAGAATGTGCAAAAATTATATACGAAACACACGTTCTTGGATGTTCATTACCTCTTCATACAGTGTACAAGATTGTTTTGCAAAGCCTCAACACCACATTTACTTATCTATCCTTTTTATTTGTGCTTTGAACTTTTATGAAGTAAACTCTCATAGCAGCAAACCCTTACCCCACACTCCCAAACCAATTCTGAATACGATTTAGAATTGTCAGCATCCTCTTGTAAATTTTTCTACCTATTTTCTTCTTACCTGTCTTTCAGCGAATCTAATATGATATGGGGAAATACGGGATACTTTACATCTAAATTGGGAATGCAGCTCTTTCTATATGCATTGGTCTCAAACTACTTTTTGTAAATTTGATATTGTTCAGTGATACAGGCGGCTTTTCTATTCACCGTGGTGGGGACGACAGGATTCTTAGGTCTTCTTGCTGGCCAACTTCCTGGGGTAAATTTGATTATATCTCCTTGTCTCTGTAAGTCCACATATAAATTATACATCAACTATCTAAACAGTGTGATTAGGAGGGATTTTAGTAATCCTATATTGTTGGGTAATGAATTTTTTTTTTAACTTTCTTTTTCTTTAGCAGTGTATAGTTGATATTATTTTTCTTTATTTTTCTTTTTCATATATTGGCATTAAAAAAAGGCCTTTTTTCTACTCTTACACAAATATATGAAATTTTAATCTAGCAAGTTTTCTTTCTCTGATCTGGAGGAGGAGACAGGAATATGGTTTTTGGATTTTACAGTTGCAATCTAACCCGGATCACATTATTACTTTTGCATGAAAGTGGAAGGCATTTTCAAAGTCCCTTTCTTGTGTCTGTGACCACACTTTAAGCATGTATTGTAGAGCTCTGGCTATATAAGCGGGGCTGAAGAATCCAATTATTATGTAAGCTACCTTTTTTTTTCGGATGAGGACCTATGTCAGTGCAATTGTATTGCTGCCAGCCTAGCACAAGGTGTTGGGGACAGACTGGATAATCGATGGCCACTTTCATTTGATAGTTGATAGTTGAAGTAGACAAGAAGACCTCTGTCCTGGATGTCACAAATTAATTAATTATAGATTGTCAACATTTTTACTAAAACAAAGAACTTAACTTCCTTATGCAAACAACTTAAATTGTAGTAGAAGTAAGATAATGATTGAAAGTGCAATGGATTCTTTTTTGCCTTTGTATCAGCCAAATCATTGCCTAGTATTTGTCAACTGCACTTTAGGGATAAAGGTTTACTTGAGTTATTTCCAAATATCATTCTTCTAGAACTATTAGATTAGGTCAATTATACACCAGAGAGAAATTTTCTTTTA